TGTGTCCGTGGCGCTGCAGCCTGGTGAATCTCCAACAGAGGGAGAGCTGCCAGTCCTGCCGTATGCAGCACGTGTGTGAATATGAATCCTCTATTCATTACGCTATACGGATGCTACAACCTCCAAAAGTACTGCGGTGTAAACCCAAAAGAACGTGTTAATGAATGAGCTCGTTTGGTGTTGGGCACAGCTTAAAAAAAATATGTGATAAGCTACCTAAGTTAGAGCAGAGCTAATAACTGCTTCCCCAAGTACAGAGAAGGGAGAATGCTTTGGATAGTACCTGTTATTTCTGGGCAAGATTTAGCTACGAGAGATGTTTACAGCTGCCTTTAATTGGTAAGCTGGCAGTTTTAATGAAAAATAAAATTGTATTTTTTTTCTTAATATTTTTTAATATGTATGTCGGCTTGGGTGTTTCTGAAATGGTATTTCCTGCAAGGTCTCAGCTGTCCTACAGTCAATCTGCTATCCCAAACCTTCTCTGTGTAAGCATGTGTTCTCTAAAGATTTATTCTTGGGTGTAAAACCCGAACCAACAGGGTGCACAAACAGTGTGTGTTCACATCCTTTCATTAATGGAGCATTGCAAATACTTCATGTAAATCTTCGTGAAGCACCTTTTTGTGCAGGGAGCAAACAGGCCGAATTAAGATGATAGCAAAATTCTGGTTGGGAGGTGCCTGCGGGTCTCCGCTCCAGTCTCCTCCTCAATGCAGGGCCAGCACTGAGGTCATCAGGCCAGGTTGCTCAGGACATTGTTCGGTCGGGTCTTGAAAACCTCTGAGGACAGGGACAGCTGGCCTTTCTGGGCAGCCTGCTCTGCTGCCTGGCGGTCCTCATGGAGAAAAGGCTGTGTGCAGAATACAGTCTTGTATCCAGTCTGAACCTCTTTTTTTTCCAGCTTATGACTCTTATCACTTCTCTTCCCACCTTGTAGTACTATGAGGAGCCATTCCTGGCTCCATCTCCTCAGTTATCCCTCACAGGTAAGTGGGTGCTGTGGGACTGCTGCTAGGTCCACCTGAAGCTGCAAATGCCCCAGTCCCAACCACCTTGGTGGCTCTCCGCTGACTTCTCTCTACTAAATCGGGTCTTTCCTGTGTCAGGGTGCCCCAAACTGGACACTGCTCTAGAAGTGGCTAACAAGTGCATGTAGTCCCTTCCCTTGGTCAAGCTGTGCTTCTGTTCGTACAGCCCAGGGTACCCTTGGCTGCCTTTGCTGCTTGGGCACGCAGCTGACTCACGTTGAGCTTGCTTCTTGGGTAGGAGCCTTTTGCCATGTCTACCTGCTGTAGCATTTAAAGGCTATTCAAACAAGTCTTTGGTGTGATATGCGGTAGCAATGTGGAAATGGGCTGTTTTAAGAATAAATTTCTAGTTCTGTCCTATTGCTCTGTTGCAGGTTCACTTACTGTTTCAGATTTGGTAATTAATACTGTAGTGTGAGTAGATCAATACCCTGTCTTTGAGGCTCCCGAGGCAAAAAGAATCTGGGAATCACAGATAAAACACCACAAAGGAAGGCCACCTGAAGGGCAACACGAAGGAGATGGAGCCATTCCACCTAATAAGTCAGCCCCATTGGGCATCCAGCTGAAGTGCCTTTACACAAATGCACGAAGCATGGGGAACAAGCAAGAGGAGTCAGAGACATGTGCGCACCTCTTATCGTTGTCGAGATGTGGTAGGATGGCTCTTACGAATGGAGTATTGGAATGGAGGGTTACAGGCACTACAGGAAGGACAGGCTGGGCAGATGGGGAGGGGGTGTTGCCCTCTGTGTCAATGACCAGCTGGAGTGTGTGGAGCTCCACCTGGGGATGGATGAAGACCTGATGGAGAGCTTATGGGTCAGGATAAAAGGGAGCACAGGGGCAGGTGATGTTACAGTAGGGGTCTGCTACAGGCCACCAGATCAGAGTGACGGGGAGGATGAGGCACTCTATAAGGAGCAGTATTGCGCTCGCATACCCTGGTCCTCATGGGGAACTACAACCACCCTGATATCTGTTGGAAGGACAACACTGCAGGGCACAAGAAATCCAGGAAATTCTTGGAATGTGTTGATAACTTTCTTCTTCAAATGATTGAGGAGCCAATGAGGAAAGAAGCTGTGCTGGACCTTGTCCTTACCAACAAGCAGGGACTGGTGGGAAATGTGAAGTTCAAGGGTAGCCTCAGCTCCAGCGATCACGAAATTAGAATTCAAGATTCATAGGGCAGCAAGGAGGGTGTGCAGCAAGCTCGCTACCCTGGACTTCAGAAGAGCAGACTTTGATCTCCTGAGAGATCTGACTGGCAGGGTAGCATGGGAGAAAGAACTTGGAGGGGAGAGGGGCCCAAGAAAGCTGGTTGGCATTCAAGGATCGCCTCATCCAAGCTCAGGAGAGGGGCATCCCAAAAAAGAAGAAGTCAGGCAAAATAGCCAGCAGGCCTGTGTGGATGAACAAGGAACTGCTGGACAAGCTCAGGAGCAAAAAGGAGGCCTATAGAAGGCGGAAGCAAGGATGGGTAGACTGGGCAGAATATAGAGAAACTGTCCGAGTGGCCAGGAACCAGATCAGGCAAGCGAAAGCCCAGGCAGAACTAAATCTAGCTAGGGACATCAAAGACAATAAGAAAACTTCTATAGATATGTCAGGGATAAAGGCAAGACTAGGGAAGTTGTGGGCCCTCTCCAGAAGGAAACAGGAGACCTGGCCACCCAGGATATGGATAAGGCTCAGCTACTGAACAACTTTTTTGCCTCAGTGTTCACGGGCAAGGGCTCTAACCACACTGCCCAAGTCACGGAAGGCAAAAACAGGGGCTCTGAGAATGAAGAACTGCCCACAGCAGGAGAAGATCAGGTTCGAGACCACCTAAGGAACCTGAAGGTACATAAATCCATGGGACCTGACGAAATCCATCCATGGGTCTTGAGGGAGCTAGCGGACAAAGTTGCTAGGCTGCTTTCCATCATATTTGAGAAATCACGGCAATCTGGCGAAGTTCCTGCTGACTGGAAAAAGGGGAACATAACCCTGATATTCAAAAAAGGAAAAAAAGAAGACCCAAGGAACTAAGGCCAGTCAGCCTCACCTCTGTGCCTGACAAGATCATGGAGCAGATCCTCCTGGAGTCTCAGCACATGGAAAATAAGGAGGTGATTGAAGACAGCCAACATGGCTTCACCAAGGGCAAATCGTGCCTGACAAATTTGGTGGCCTTTTACACACACTTGGTGGACAAGGGCAGAGTAACAGACGTCATCTACTTGGACTCATGCAGAGCATTTGACACTTTTCCGCACAACATCCTGGCCTCAAAATTGGAACCTCATGGGTTCGATGGATGGACCACTCAGTGGACAAGGAACTGGCTGGCTGGCCACACCCAAAGGGTTGTGGTCAATGGCTCAATGTCCAAGTGGCGGCCACTGTGGACGAGTGGTGTTCCTCAGGAGTTGGTACTGGGATAAGTGCTATTTAACATCTTTGTTGGACACATGAACAGTGGGATAGAGTGCACCCTCAGCAAGTTGGCCGATGACACCAAGCTTGGTGGCATGGTCAACATGCTGGAGGGAAGGGATGCCATCCAGAGGGACCTGGACAGGCTCGAGAGGTGAGCTCGTGCAAATTGCATGAAGTTCAACCAAGCCAAGTGCAGGGTCCTGCACCTGGGATGTGGCAATCCCAGGCACAAATACAGGTTGGGCAGAGAATGGCTGGAAAGCAGCCCTGAGGAGAAGGACTTGGGAGTGCTTGTGGATAAGAAGCTCAGCATGAGCCAGCAGGGTGCACTGGCAGCCCAGAAAGCCAACCACATCCTGGGCTGCATCAAGAGAAGTGTGGCCAGCAGGTCATGGGAGGTGATTCTGCCCTCTACTCTGTGCTCATGAGACCCCACCTGGAGTGCTGTGTCCAGCTCTGGAGTCCTCACAACAGGAAGGACATGGACCTGTTGGAACGGGTCCAGCGGAGGGCCATGAAGATGATCAGAGGAATGGAGCACCTCCTCTATGAAGACAGACTGAGAGAGCTGGGGTTGTTCAGCCTGGAGAAGAGAAGGCTCTGGGGAGACCTTATAGCAGCCTACCAATATCTGAAGGGAGCCTACAGGAGAACTGGTGAGGGACTCTTTGTCAGGAAGTGTAGTGACAGGACAAGGGGTAATGGTTTTAAATTGGAAGAGGGGAGATTTAGATTAGATACCAGGAAGAAATTCATTACTGTGAGGGTGGTGAGGCACTGGAACAGGTTGCCCAGAGAAGTTGTGGATGCCCCATCCCTGGAGGTTTTTAAGGCCAGGCTGGATGGGGCTTTGGGCAACCTGGTCTAGTGGGAGGTGTCCCTGCCCAAGGCAGGGCAGTTGGAACTAGATGATCATTAAGGTTCCTTCCAACTCTAACCATTCTATGATTCTTTGAATACAATGCTAATAATAGCATCAGGATATTTTTTATCACAGGTACAAAATACTGGCTATTAAAAATGCACCATGTTTAAAACAAACAAACAAACAACCCTGCTCCATGCTCTGTTATTTCTTCTTTAGCCCCAGTGATAACACTTGAGGGGTTTTTTAAACCACTCTAAAACACTTACTTTTCCCCCTTGTGTCTTGAAATGGCTGAATGAACCCAACAACTCTGAAGATAAGGCTCCCCAAAAAGCTTTATTATATGGTCAATCAAAGGGATCTGCTTATTGTGCATGAACTTGCATCAGATTTTATCAAGTGTGTGCCATTTTAAAAACACAATGTAATGTGCATATTCTTACTCCAGACCCTGCACTGTAGCTAATATGTAGCTTCAATACAAGTATTAATTACAGCAGCTTGAGTTTTACAGATAGTTCACAACTGTAAAGGCTAAAGTGAAGTAGTATCAAGGGCAAAAAAAGTGAAGTATAGCTTAGTATTTTCCCTCCTGTCACAAGAAACAGCTACTTTGGGGTCATATCACCAAAGTTAAGAGCAATTATTCTGAAAGAATGTGATACACCGTGATATACTCTTCTGGTAGATTAAACACATACAATCTTTATTGCAAATATTCAGTTGCAAAATTACAAGTTGTTAACAACCAGTTTTGTGCTGCTGATAGAGACATGTATTGACAGATAAAATCTAAGGCAGATAAATTCTTATTAAGCAGTGATGAAACTTCCTTGCAGCATCAGTCTGTTGCTTGAGAAACTGCAAGCACAGGTGGAAACTGTGCTTGACTCTTCTCATGAAGTGAGATATATAAATGGCGCAAGATATGTTACAGTTTGGATTATTAGCAGAGTTGTTGCTTAAAGTGACTTTTTTAGCCTAGGCGAAAGAAGAAAGTCATTGAAAGCTTGCACTTGTTTCTGGCTTCGTTGCCCTCCCCCATTCTTACTGTTTCTGGTGGAGAAATCCAGGATTTTTTTAATTAGAAGCAAAGCATGTAATCAGTGATTCAAATCTAAAAATTACTGGAATGTCTCAGTATCCATTTCTCTTATAAAACTTGGCTCTTGCAACCACATCATTGGCGTAGTCATTGTGTGTTGTGCCAACATCCATTCTGTCATAGGTCTGGACATTCTTAGGGCCTGCGTTATAGGCTGAGATCGCACCTGAAATGAGAGTGAAAGAAACACAAAAACGGAGATGGTACTTTGTCAGTAAATAAGAAAGCAAACAAAAATCACAACTTAAATGCATTGCTTTAGTTTGTAGCTCTCTTTTCATTGGTGTTGTTGGCCATAGTATTACCATTTCCAGCTATTTTTGTCCCTGAGGTGCTCCTTTTTGTGTTTTAACTTTGTGAAGAAATCATAACTTCCTCCTTTACATCCAGACTTGGTGATCATTGTCCCCTTGCTGTATTTTACTCATGTTAACATCATCAGTTGTATGACTGTTTCCTTTTGTGCATATTCTTTCATGCCTGCCTTCATTAATAACCTCAGACATATTTGTACTGCGGTTGGAATAAGGGGACCCAACCATAACGACTGCTGCTGCTGTAATCAGTGCTCAAGAATATAACCATGTTTCCTCCGGAGAGGACCATACATTTTCAGAATTGATGTGTTCTTTCTTCAGAGTTCCCAGGATAGTAGCTTTTTGTGGGTGGGTATAGAAACACAAAACAAATGAAATGGGGAGAGCAATGGGAAAAAACACCCTTCCTCCTTGCAACTGAAAAATGTCATGGTATTTGCCAAATTTTCCAAAAGCCTGCTAGAAAGCTAACCAAATCTTATTCCTCTATTCCTTTTAGTGAGTATTAAGGAATATTCCACACTTTAATTAAACGAACAGGGGAACTGGGATGTGTTCAGTTTTCTGAAGGGCTTAGTTTTACAGCGTTATTGCACTTCTATGCATGTCAAGTGTTTTAAAGCCGACAAAACTCTACCTTTGAGCTGCTGTTCCTTTGTCCAAGTTGGGAATTTCTTCTCGATTGCCTTTGTCATGTCGCATAAAATATCTGCGCCTTGTGCTAAGTGCTCTTCGCTGTCCCATGAACCGGCAACCTTATGGTACCGTTTGTCAACCTGAAAGCGAGACAGCAATATCAGCACACCAGAAACACCACTATTTATCCAGAGCTCTTCATTTCGTACAGGCTGCTTGCATTCATTTTCATCTTTAATCTCATGATTTACCTCTTTTGTGATTGTATAGAGAGGAAGCAAGCTCAGCTCAAGGTGCAGGCAGCGCCAGCAGATGCGTGAACAGCAGAATATGGAGGCACTGAAGGGGGATGCCTGCCCCACCTCCTTGGTGTCGGAGCCTTAAACTGCTGTAAAGGTGACAGGGTGCAGGAAGCAGGCTCACTGCTACTTGAGTTTTTCTAGCTGCAAGGTGACTGTTCCTCTCCTTCCCGGCTGCACCAAGAGTGGGAAACCCCCTGTTTCCTCTGTGGATCTCCCGTTTCTCTGCCCACTTCTTCAACTCTTAACCACAGAGTACTAAAGCCCTGGTTTCCTCTATGGATCTCCCCGGTTTCTCTGCCCACTTCTTTCTTCACCTCTTAACCACGGGGTACTAAAGCCCTGGTTTCCTCTATGGATCTCCCCTATTTCTCTGCCCCACTTCCCCTTCTCCTTCCTCTTTCTTCATTCTCCTTCTCCTTTCTCCACCTCTTAACCATGGGGTAGTAAAGCACGAGTCTGGGGGGCTGGAGCTGTTACAAAAGCGGATCCCAATGCGCGCAGGCAATGTTTAGGGATGGTACGGATAAGCATATAACTTGGCAAGCAAATGAGGCGTGAATGTAGGCATGAATAATGAAGGAAGATTCTCCACTAGCTAGGCCCCTGTGGTACATGTAGGGTAATTAACCTGACTGTATGTAGCTGCAGCCTACAGGCTTCCAAGCTTAGTTAAAAAAAAAAAAAAAGCTTTTTTTAAAACAAGATTTATGATCTAAAGTATGAAATAGGAATAATTAACATCTCAATTCCCAAGAGAGTGCTGGGAAGCAAGCAGCAGTTTCACGGTGCAAAGCAGCCTGCTCATGCCCTGACACTCACCGGGGTCCTTCCCCAGTGCCAGGAGCTGACAGCTGGGTCAGCCTTGGCTTTGTTCTGGCCAAAGACTTGGCAGAAAAGTTTTAAGGGGTTGCCTTTCAACGGGTCCCCTGCTGCTCTTCTGGCTTCCTGCTTCAAAGGAAGGGTGAGGTTTGTGTTTGTAAGATGGTTGACCATACCTGCATTAACCCGAATCCATTTCCGTGGTCACCCCAGCCATCCTGCAACACCGTCCCAGCGTGTGACTCTCGAGAGATGATACCAGCAATCACTGCTGGATCAACACACTTGGCGTTGCCAGCTTTTTTAATCTTGGCTTTGTATTTCTCCATGTTCTTCAAGTCTCTTTCTGCTATCTTCTCGGAGGCAGGAACTCCTGCAACAAAACATGTGTGACTTTTCCTTTCATTTTTAAAATCAGAAACAAGTTGTTCTAATAGTCCTTATGACTGAGCTGACATTTTGAATCCTTCATAATCTATTTTGAGAGAAGAAATGTTAGAATTGACCAGTTTTGATGAAGGGTAAGTGCTCTAGAAATCAATACACAGATGATATAAAATACTTTTTTTTTTTTTTTCAAATACTGAGGGCATTTCTCTAGTGTGCAGATTAAAAGGCAGGTCTTCTTGTTTTAAATCTAAGCCTTTGGGTGGAATAGATTTAATTTCTTTTAATTTAGGACTATACTGGGGAAATGTTCAGAAACTTAGGTCATGAGGGAAACCCTCTTAAGGGAGAGATAACAGCAGGCTCGATGGCAGCAGATGGATGGTCACAGGTAGACCTTGCATTTTCTCTGTGATGGTCTTAAATATTCCTTACAGCATCTCAAAGGCAACTCCATTCCTAACATAAATTTACATACCCAAGTAGGATCTTTGTTGGCTGTAGAAAAATCTGCTTGCTTGGCAATGACTGACAGCCAGAGACCAGGATCCCTAACAGGGATGAGCTTGTGGATGGATGTAAGGGGAGATGAACAACTGAATTCATGCCTACCTGCATAGCTTAGACCTTCCGGTTTTGCAGTTGCTTCCGAAGCTCCGGTCGTGTCAACATTCATTATATTCCCGTAATAGCCTAAGGAGCAATATTTACAATGAAATGTGCGTGACGCAATGATAAAGTGGTTTTGTATCCATAACTGAAACCCATGGCATCATTTTGATGCTAGTGCAGGCATTCGTGTGAGCAGGTACCATCATGCTATCAGATGCTCTGGAAGAGATCCCCTCTCAGTCATGCCAGCGTAAAGCCACAGTGCAGCTTGTGAGGTGCACTGGTGCTTTGTGCACAATTCACTCCCCCCTCTGTAATTTTAGCTTGCCTAAAACTTAGCTGTCTGGTTTAAGCTTGTGACTTGGGCTGCCCGCATAGCCAACGGAGAAAGGCACCTCCAAAAGGTGGGTTTTCTATTTAAAAAAAAGTAAACCTATGACAGTCAAAAGCAATCCTACATGACTTGCTGGCTCTAGCATGCTTTTCCGAAGCTACCATCAACAGGAAAAATCAAAGAGAAACGCATCCTTTGATTACATCCATTACAATTTACTAGACTTACAATTTTTGCCTGCGTTTTTTTGTGTTGCCTGAACACACGGTTGCAGAAGGGAAAACACGCAGACAGCAACCCAGGGGAGCAACGCTAACCCAAGCCCAGCAGTTAATGGAAAACAGATTTTGGTACAGTGAGTTGTTTAGAGGAATATTAGAGAAACCTCACAGACCTGACATGTTTGCCGCAGGATGTCTCCCCACCTTCTCGCTGCTCTTCCTAAAGAGACAAACGGGCTTTTTATCTGCTGGCAGCCCTTGGGAGCATCTGACTCACTGCCCTTCCTGCCCGGGGCTGGTATTACGGTAAAGGGGAACGCCTGGCAGCTCCTTCTGAATCCACCCAAACACAACAGGGTTTCCACTCAACCGCACGAACCCAATTATTATTTTTAAAAATTAAATACTTTTTAATTTATTTTAAAACCCTGTTGCTAACCGTCTAGAACTGGGAGGAACTCGCCTAAAAACGACCCCCCCCCCCCCATCAGTTGCCGGTAACAATGACGTTGCTGGCAACGGGGAAATGGGATGTTGCACTTTCGGTTATAAGAAAGTTTTTGCAGGCAAAGACCCAGCAACAATAACAGGCCACAGAACTGCAGCTACTGAGAATTTGGGTATGCAGAGAATATGCCAGGTCCCTGATGCTCTCCCCTCTTGTGCAGTGACAACAAGGGTGAAGGCACAAGCCCAACATTAACAGGCAGCGTGGATCAAAGCCACTGTAGCTGCTCAGCCGTAAGGAAAAAAGCCACTGGATGGCAGACCTCCCCATCACTGCTAATCCATCCAGACGTGTGTCTCTCCCATGGGAAATATTGTGAGGCTGAGATGCTGTTTTGCTCTTTCATCACCTCTTTTTGCCTTTTAAGCTGCGGAATTCCTGCTGTGTCCTAAGTGTCGAAAGATTCAGTTCTGTAAATTTTTCCTGTACTGTTGATGCCTCACATCAAGAACCAGCTGCAAAAAGTCACAGCAGCCTGTGCATGGGGCTTTTCTTGTTCACAATTGTGAGCGAGGTCAAAGGAGGTTGAAACGCAGGGAAGCACCTCTGTTGGGAAGGAATTAAGAGATATGGCTTATACAGGAGTGATATAAGAAGATATTGAATATTCAAAACACCACTGAAGATAATTCACAAACCTGTAATCACCAAACGGTCTGTGCTCCCTTATTGCTGGTGGAGAATCATAAAGGATGTATTAGTTTGCTTCTCCTACACCACAGTAGTTAAGGTATGTGGGTGGATCTCCTGTGTTTTCTGAAGCCCTATCCAGAAATTGTTATTTAATCATATATGCATGCGGGGAGTCTCACAAGTCCTGGGAAGTGTTTTCCTTGACAAACCTGTATTCAGCCTACTGCGACAGAACGGCATGTCCACACGATGGTTCGTAACAACAGTCCTGTCTGTCACCTGTGTGATGTCGAGCAGGCTACAGCTTGCAGGTTACAGTGAGAGCTCAGGAGCTGCTGCAGGCTCAGGTCTGAATTTCACTGAATTTTTAGAGTTGGAAGGGACCATAGAGATCATCTAGTCCAACTCCCCTGCTGAAGCAGGATTGCCTAGAGCTTGTCAGAGCATGTTACTCAGGACTGCATCCAGGCGGGTCTTGAAAATCTCCAAAGAAGGGGACTCCACAACCTCCCTGGGCAGCCTGTTCCAGGCCTCCATCACCCTCACTGTGAAGAAGTTTTTTCTCGTATTTGAGTGGAACCTCTTATGTTCCAACTTGTGCCCGTTGCCCCTCGTCCTCTCACTGGGAACCACTGAAAAGAGTCCGGCTCCCTCCTCCTTCAACCCTCCCTCGAGATACTTGTCAGCATTAATAAGGTCTCCCCTCAGCCTTCTCTTCTTCAGACTAGAGAGTCCCCGCTCTCTCAGTCTTTCTTCATATGGTAGATGCTCCAATCCTTGAATCATCTTTGTTGCCCTTCGCTGGACTCTCTCCAGCAGTTCCCTGTCCCTCTTGAACTGGGGAGCCCAGAACTGGACACAGTATTCCAGTTGTGGCCTCACCAGTGCAGAGTAGAGGGGGAGAATGACTTCCCTTGACCTGCTGGCCACACTCTTCCCTATGCAGCCCAGTCTCTGCTTACTGCTTTTGCCAGTGCTCTTTGCAGCATCTCTTGCTTGTCCCATCACTCACTTGGTGCTGAGGAGGCAGTCGGTAAGCTGCACTGCATTGCGAGCTCGCCTGCTATGTCAGGGGTACAAGTGGCAGTTTGGGGCAGCCTCAAAAGTGCCCCAAATTGTGGTTTATGTCCTGGATTCCCCTTGTGCTTACTGCTAGTTGAGGCATTCAGCAACCTCCAATTCAGATCCAGCACATCCTAGTTTTTATTCGTCTTTCAGAAATGCTACAAAAAGCCCATCAGTGTGGTTCTGCCATGAAACTTGGTCTCTTGTGTTGACCTCTCTATGGAGTGCCATGAGCCAGTGTCATGGGCTTTGGGTCTCCCTACCACACTGTGGTGCCAGGAGCTGGTGCTTCTTCCTTCCCCAGAAATTGCTGCTGAATTAAGTCCATTTTGTCTGTGCAAGTGCACTGAAGGCAGGAGCATAGTCTGAAGGTAGTGGGGATATACACATGACTAAAGGAATAATTTAACTTGTTGATCATCTGTCAGGAGGGAAAAGGCCTGAAAGAAAGAGTAGAATCATAGAATCATGGAGTCTTTTTGGTTGGAAGGGAACCTCAAGATCATCAAGTTCAATTATTAACTTAACACTACCAAAACCACCACTAAAACGTGTCACTCAGCACCATGTCTACACATCTTTTAAATACCTCCAGGGATGGTGACTCTACCACTTCCCTGGGCAGCCAGTGCTTGACAACCCTTTTGGTGAAGACATTTTTCCTAATATCCAATCTAAACCTCCCCTGGTGCAACTTAGGGCAATTTTCTTTTGTCCTATCATTTGTTACTTGGGAGAAGAGACCCAAGTCTACCTCCTTTCAGGTAGTTGTACAGAGTGGTAAGGTCTCCCCTCAGCCTCCTTTTCTCCAGGCTGAATAACCCCAGCTCCCTCAGCCTCTCCTCTTAACCCTTGTTCTCCAGACCCCTCACCAGCTTCATTGCCCTTCTCTGGACCCACTCCAGCACCTCAATGTCTTTCTTGTAGTGAGGGGCCCAGAACTGAACACAGTACTTGAGGTATGGCCTCACCAGTGCCGAGTACAGGGGGACAATCACTTCCAAAGTCCTGCTGGCCACACTAGTCACACTATTTCTGATACAAGCCAGGCTGCTTGTTCACCTGGGCACACTGCAGACTCACATTCACACAGCAGTTGGCCAACACCCCCAGGTCCTTTTCCACCAGACAGCTTTTCAGCCTCTCTTCTCCAAGCCTGAAGCATTGTGTGAGGTTGTTGTGACCCAAGCGCAGGACACGGCTCTTGGCCTTGTGTGTAAGGGATAATAGAGGATGGTCTGAGTGGGACACAATGGAAAATTACTAGTTAAACCAAGCCCAGGATACGTGCCAACAAAAAAAGGGGGGAACTCAGTGCTGTTGTTGCAAAACTATGCATGTGCCCATGAGAGCCTGACCTTCAAAGAAGGAAAACAACAAGAAGAGGGTGCAACAATGTGGCTGAGTTGACACTATCAGCCACTGTTAGCCAAGCTGGATCACGAGTCTGATGAGGCTTGCTGCATATGCTGGCCAGGCGTGCAGCCACCCTAGCTAGAACTTTCCCACTCACTCTGGTGCAGGACATAAAGGGGCTGTCTCGGGGCAGAGGGGGAGAGATGACATGAGTGCACTTTGAAGCTACAGGGGATGCCCCAAAGGTGCTGTGCCTGCCCCCCACACCGTACTGACGTGGCTCCTCACCATCCTGCTGCTCAGTGGCGCTGCTACGGTCTCTGGGGTGGTAAGACTCTCCTAGGTAACATTTGGGGCATTTGGGAACTGCTTAGCAAGGCTTCACAATAAAGTTGAGTTAACTATCTGTTTGTTTTGAAGTGAGCTCTCGTTTGTACATTGGAATCCCTTTAAAAGGACCTGTCACACCTTGTTGAACCTCATACCATTGGCCTCAGCCCATCAATCCAGCCTGTCCACATTTCACTGCAGAGCCTTCCTACCCTCAAGCACATCAACATTCCTGTCCAACTTGGTGTCATCTGCAAATTTACTGAGGGTGCATTTGAAACCTTCATCCAGATTGCTGACAAACAGAACTAGCCCCAGTACTGAGCCCCAGGGAACACCACTCGTGACCGGCCACCAACTGGATTCAACTCCAGCCACCACAACTCTTTTGGCTGACCATCCAGCTAGTTTTTTATGCAGTAAAGACTACACCTGTCCAAGCCATGAGCAGCCAATTTCTCCAGGAGAATGCTGTGGGAAATGGTGTCAAAGCTTTACTAAAGTGCAGGTAAGCAACATCCACAGTCTTTCCCTCGTCCACTAAGCAGGTCACCTTGTCACACAAGGAGATCGGGTTAGTCAAGCAGGACCTGCCTTTCATAAACCCATGCTGACTGGGCCTGATCACCTGATTGTCCTGTATGTGCTGTACTCAAGATGATCTGCTGCACAACCTTCCCTGGCACCAAGGTCAGAATGACAGGCCTGTAATGCCCAGATACTCGTTCTGGCCCTTCTTGTAGATGAGCGTGATATTTGTTAACTTCCAGTCAACTGGGACCTCCCCGGTTAGCCAAGGCATTCGTGTGAGCAGGTACCATCATGCTATCAGATGCTCTGGAAGAGATCCCCTCTCAGTCATGCCAGCGTAAAGCCACAGTGCAGCTTGTGAGGTGCACTGGTGCTTTGTGCACAATTCACTCCCCCCTCTGTAATTTTAGCTTGCCTAAAACTTAGCTGTCTGGTTTAAGCTTGTGACTTGGGCTGCCCGCATAGCCAACGGAGAAAGGCACCTCCAAAAGGTGGGTTTTCTATTTAAAAAAAAGTAAACCTATGACAGTCAAAAGCAATCCTACATGACTTGCTGGCTCTAGCATGCTTTTCCGAAGCTACCATCAACAGGAAAAATCAAAGAGAAACGCATCCTTTGATTACATCCATTACAATTTACTAGACTTACAATTTTTGCCTGCGTTTTTTTGTGTTGCCTGAACACACGGTTGCAGAAGGGAAAACACGCAGACAGCAACCCAGGGGAGCAACGCTAACCCAAGCCCAGCAGTTAATGGAAAACAGATTTTGGTACAGTGAGTTGTTTAGAGGAATATTAGAGAAACCTCACAGACCTGACATGTTTGCCGCAGGATGTCTCCCCACCTTCTCGCTG